TTATCAATTACTAATTATTTTCCTTGTTCCTTATCACACATTGAGTTTACATAAACAACATTTTTTTAAATATAAAATGTGCATTTATCATCATGTAAGAGGCTGTCAGACTGCAATGGTAAATTTATAATGCTACTGGTAACAGCTGTTGTCTAGCCTGAACTTCACTGATAAAGAGTAATTTGACTAGAATCCCATGCATGGTGTACAATTTGGCACCATTGAAAACTTTTGAGCTTTTTTTGTAGAATATTGATTAAATTTGCGTGGGCCTCAATTAAGTTATATTTTCTATGTGGTATTGATTTGCTTGTTATATATATAATGAATGTTTATGTAGTGAATAAATGAATATTGAATAGTAAAGGAAGATTATTTCCTATGAGGATCATAAAATATAAATGAGGTTCCAAATGTAATAATAGAACTACAAGGACAAAAATCCCTCTAGTTGTATTTGGTCATGGTAATTAATGGGTAGATACATGTTATATCTTGTGTCTTTCAAGATCTTTAAGAAAGAAACCAATGCATGCAGTGTTATTATACGCCCACATTGCCATCACCCTTGTTCGTCCGTTTGTCGTCCGCAATTTCTTGTGAACGCTAAAAGTTATGATCCAATTGTTTTTAAAATTGATATATGTTGTTTACATTAGTGAGATGAAGAAGCCTATTTAATTTCAGTATTTTCTGTTTATCGACCCCACATTATGAAGAAAGCAGGAGACTATTAAAATGGGTTCGTCTGTCTGCCTGTTCGTCCGTCTGTCTGTCCATCACACTTTTTGGGACACAATAACTCTCTTTCTAATTGAGCTAGAATGTTCAAACTTGGTATAGATGTTTATTAGGTCAATACCTTGATGGTGGTCGTAGCTGAGCATTTTCTGCTTAGGGTAAGCAGAGATAAGCAATTTGATTGGTTGATGCTTTGGGACATGATAACTTTAGTTCTAATTAAGTGAGAGTGATGAAACTTGGTGTATAGTTTCATTACATCAATACCTTGACCAAGTTCGATAATGGGCATTTTCTGCTCCGGGTCAGCAGAGCGATAAGCAATTTGATTGTCCGAGATATTGGATCACAATAACTCTCCTTCTAATTGAGCTAGAATGTTCAAACTTTGTGTAGGTGTTTATTAGTGAAATAAAGATGCCTACTTATTTTCAGCAATTTCCGTTAATTACTTCTCTAGAGTTATGGCCCTTGTTTCACTTTGTTGCACCTTGTGAACGCTTTAGTGCCATTTGATCTGAATGAAATTTATATGCATCATTTAGATTAGTGAAACCACGAAGCCTATTGAATTTCAGCGATTTAAGATGATTAATTCTAGAGTTATGGCCCTTGTTTCACTTGTTCAACCTTGTTAAAGTTACAATTTCATATTTTTAAGTTATATTTTTAAAATGTATTAAAATAAAGCCCTAAAATAGATGGTATCTATAAACAGTCCTACCTTGTTAAAGAATAATCCTATCAATCCTATAATTCACTATTGCCAGTTGGGAAATTGGCAAAAATATCATTTTCAACTTCAAATTCAAACGTTTGAAGATAGCTATCCCATGGTGGGGAAAAGAAAAACAAGGGAGGTAATTGTGTTATTATTTCCGGTGTGGAGATTTTTAAGTATGAGAAAGATAACCTATGATCATATAATAGTCAGTTGACAACCTACTGAGCAAAAGACATAGAAATAATTATGTTTTGACTTTCTTCGAAAATATGAAATTATAACTTTAATGCTCAATTGATATGCATCATTTAAATTTGTGAAACAGGGGTCTATTGAATTTCTGCAATTTCCGTCATTTATTTCTAGAGTTCTGGCCCTTGTTTTACTTTGTGAACCTTGTGAACATTCAAATGACAAATGTTATCATTCAATCTGTATGAAATTTATATGTATTATTTAAATTAGTTTAGGCCCTTGTTTCAGTTTGTAGAACCTTGTGAATCTGATCTGTATGAGAAATTGTCTTGTAAATGCCCCCAATTACCTACAAAAGAATAAATATGCAACAACCCTTGTCGACCGCTCGGACGATTTAGCTGCGGTGGGCGTATGTTTCGTTGCCTGGCAACCTATCTTTGATAATGAGATATACATGTATGGAACGATACAATGTATATCTAATTTGATATTGTTTTCTTAATGTATTTTAAACCTAGGAATACACTAGTCAATTTGTAAATGGAATTTAAGTAAAATAAATGGAATTTGCCTTAAGGTTTCCCCCAGTTCAGTTAATGACTAATACACATCATTCATCATGTTCATACATTAATAGGTTTTGGTGAAGCATAAAAAACCAAGCCTTTCAATGCTCCTGATTTTATAGTTATAACTGACCAGAGTTACAGATATAAACTGAATAGAAACAAGTCATGTAATCAGTCTGTCAGAAGATTACCTATGACTCATCTCATCTCAAGTTTTATCCAGTTTCAATTAATTCCAGACTACTGATACTGATAGTTTCTTCAAATTTGAAGGCTCCCTCCCTAACTTTAAACACAAGCCATGTATTTATTTTTGGACACTTATCCCTTGTTTTGTCACAGTCAGGCAAATGAATCTAACTGACTACCGATTGATTTTAACAGGATGTAAATAACAGGATTTAAGTCTTTGTAATGTAGATACTTTGTTTATTCCACTGTTGTTAATCACACTGCATGTTGTCATTAAGTTAACCAACTCACAGAGGATATGATGTCCTAATAAATATTAAATAAATTGACAAATTAAGTGACTAATGTGATTACATAATACGAAATCAATGAGATGTTTTTTTTCTTGGGAGAATATCTCTCCATGCATTAAGAAAAATCAATTTTATCACCAGATGTTGAGTTGAATGTCATTTCAATTTGATCTTTAATACTCTACATACCAAAAATAGAACAACAAGCAAATAGCATTGAAGATGTTCACGAGACAGTGATTGTTTTGGACTCATTTTCTTGGCCAGCAGAATGACATTTTGTAATTCTGTGTCATTTGGACCTGAATCAACTTCTTTTATACACCCACATTGAAATGTGGTCATATTTTGTTGTCGCTCCTGTCCGTCCGGCCTGTCATTGAGTCAACTGGCGTGGTTTTCGAATCCCTGGTTGTACGTGACAAGAAGTAGGGTCGCCTGTCCAACCTCATGGGTTTTCTCTGGGTCCTCCAGTTTCCTCCCACTGCTAAAGATCCCTACGTGCAAGCAAATTATTGAAATAAAATTAAACCATATGTTAGTCCCAAAATGACCTAGTTTGGATAATTACTGCCAGAGTTATGGTCCTTGATCACTTTGATAAATCTTGTGGACGCTTGAGAGGCTAAAGTTAATATAAATTATTTTAGGTCATGAGACAAACAATCAAAACAAATTCTAATGTTTTCTGATAATTACTTCATAGGTTATTACTTGTAATCAGATTTTCATTTGTTATAAATGTTATATTATGCGATAACACTTGTTGACTGCCCGGACAACTTAGCTGCTATGGGGGAATGTTTTGTTGCTTGTCAACCTATATTTTAGTATGTATAAATGTTTTATATGTTACATATTTCGTCCCAAGATATTTTTCAGTATGGATTATGTTAATCTATGATTTCATTTATGTGGAATGTAACCACCCGCCATCTGTCATATAAAGTATGTCAGGTGACTACTAATTTATAACATAATTTAATACACTACCATGCAATCGTATTAAGCTTTTTTATCATTTTGCACAACATTTCTGTAGACTGACAGGGTTATTATAGCAGATTAATTACCAATTACACATAGCGCCAACAGTTACCTTAGGTCATACCTATCATCTATTATTCTTGAAATTTGTATGCATATTTTTCATCAGTGAAACAAAGAAACCTTGATTTATGATAACCAATTATACTTTCAGAGTTATTGCTCTTGAGTGCTTTGAAACAATTTGTGTAATCTCCAAATACAAAAGTTACCATCTGATTGTCTTATATACAGTGTATATTTTCATAAGACAAAGAAACCTATTGATTTGAAAATAATTTTCAATTATTACTTTGTGTTATTGCTCTTGATTTTAAAACACTTTATGGGTTATTGACCTTGATTTTCAAACAATTACATACAATTACTTTATGGTTTATTGCTCTTGATCACTTTGCAAAATGTTCTAATTACATATTGAACAATCAAAATGCGACAACCTTTATGCACTGCCGGAGGACTAGACTGCTAGTATCGATCTTATTTTGGCTGAAATGCATTGTCATTAAACTGTCATGGGTGAGAAAATGTTAAACAGAATTTAAACATTTAAATATCCAAATATTTCTAAATTATATTTGACATTATGCCACAGCAATGTTAGTTAATTGGATATGGTATTATCTGAGGGTAGCAAACTTTTTATAGAAAGATAATCAATTTAGGCTACATACATATTTGAAGTTTCAAGGTTAAACTAATTTTATGAAGAGGCTTCTTTATTTTCTTAAATGAGAAAGTGTAGCCATATCATATGTAGATCTATCCAACCTATGAAGATCAAGATTTTCTTGCACTGATCTCTTCAATAGGTTGTGAATATCAATATATTGCTGCTTGGGCAGAATTGTTATGTGTAGGCTATATTATTTTCATGTCGCACGTTGCACATGCATGGTGCAAACATGCTATATTTTGCTAATTATTAACATTATAAGTATAAGGAAGAAAAAAAGTTTGTATTCAATTTTCTGTTATAGTACAGTATGGTACAGTATGTTATAGTAATTTTACCATAGAAATATTTGTACTTGTATAACACCATGTGTTAGTAACATCAATGGATACATTTTTACAGATGTTGGTGGTACAGAGATAAAGATGGCATCTTGATTGCAAACTACCACAAGAATAACTCCGAAACTAATCTGTTTTACTCAAGATGCTTACTAAAGTCTGATTTAAATCCTATTAAAACATGAAAGTGTAAACGAGTATGTATTTTTATATTTGCAGGTCAAGATGTATCTGCTAATCAAGAAGAAGAAGAAGGAGAAACAGAGATATTTCAGATGGAATATGTCAAAGAGAGTGATATGTGGGCCTTCCGAACATGTTCTAATAAATACTGGTCATATGAATCTGGTGGAGGAATAATGAATGTTGGAAATGAAATGTAAGTTATCTAAATAATAAAACAATAGCTTCCTTTGTTCTACACATAGGCATTTAATTTCATTAAAGATAAGTTGTGGTGCCAATGTATTCCTGTTAAAATTTTATGCAAGAACTATCATAATAAAGTGACAGGGACTTATTTTAGAAAATTATAAAATTTATGTTTAAATGCATATTTTTCACCTTCCCAAGCTAAAATCTCCGCACATACATATTTCAGAGTCCTGCAAGCAATATGAATCTGTATGGTTGAATGCATCATTTTTATGGTAATCTGATAAGATTTCTTGAGGTTTATTTTTATTGTAGGATAAAATATTTAGCATGAATAGAATCATTGTGTAGAATTTGAAAGAAATACCAATGGGTCATTGAAATTTTTATTACAAATCGTATTAGAATTTGTGTGGGTTATGTAAATTAAGTTCAGACCAGATAACATATTTCTGTCTGGTTGTCAGGTAGTTGTAATTATTGGTAAAAATGGGTCTATTTCTGCTTTCATTGTAGGCAATCAAAAGCCCACACGTGTCGCGATTTGATTAGGGTAAAATGGGACACTATTGTTTTTCCATTGTAAATAGAGTAATTACTAAATAATATTGAGTTATCTAGAAATGTTAATTCTAAATCTACCATCATGATGATGGAATGGTAATTATGAAGTCTATCTGAAATCTCAGTCTTATTCCAGCCAATTTGATTATGTGTTGTTAGCCTCTTTTGGGAAATCTATGAGAATTATTTGTGTTCGTTTATATGTTTATCTGCCAATATTTCATTCTAATATTGGAAGAAGGTGCCATTTTGATGCTGTATTTATTGATTTAGTTTTCTCTTGAGTAATCTGCCTGCAAGTGTTTGTGTTAGAAATGGAATAAAAACTCACATATTTATAAGCAAGGAGATAAAAACAGTTTTATTTCTTGATCAAATTCGTTTACTTTTCCTGACATCACTGGATACAAAATATAAAACTATTATAAAGTACATTTTATTGATTAATGAAGTTAATGTAATTATCTAATTTCACATTTTGTGTAATTTATTATACCAGGCTGGCATGTTTCTATGGGAAAGTGGAGTTATAATGCACATCTTTGGTGCAGTTGCGATTTTAATTTTACAATTTTGATTTTTTGTGGGTTGTCCAATTTTCTCCCACTTCTAAATGAGATAAATAAAGAAATAAAGATTTAACTCCTCTCTATCTGAAAATGACCTACTAGTGTATCAGTATTATTGTTGAGGAAACCTTAAGAAATAATATAAAACAACTTGTACAAGAATAAAATTGTGTGCAACTACCAGTAATTAATTTCCAAACTTGTACTCTCCACAAAAGGAAAATCATTGACTATACAAGATTTCCTCATTGTTTCTAAGTACCACTTAAATATTCTAAGTATAATTGCTGAAATTAATTTAAGTGCCATTTAAATTGTTGCACATTGAATTTATATGAACCACCAAATTCATTAATGAAAAATGGTTTTATAAGTTACAGAATAGGCAAAACTGTCCATGTATAAGGGTTTTACCAAATTTAGCATTTCTCAAACTTAACAGATCTTTGTTTTATAGGTTGAGTCACTTCATTGTCGACTGTGTTAATCAGCTTTACATGACAAATAGTCAGTTTCTCATCCCCATACAAATCTAATTCCATTTCAGTTCTCATTAACATTGTATTAAGACTATTTTCTTTGATTGGCATTTAGTAATTGAACATATTAACACAAGGTACAATTTTATGGATACACTACACAATTACTGAGTTTAATACTAAGCGACGTTTCGAGGAGGATACTCTCGTCTTTATTAAGCAAATGATACAGGTATGTAAGAGTTTTCGTTGTGTATAAATAGGTTTAGTATTAAATAGCCCCCTAATCAAAGGTGTTAAGATTTAATTGTATTTGATTCTTATCTTTGTTGCATATTCTGTATATATTTGCCTACTATTCACATACCTGTATCATTTGCTTGATAAAGATGAGAGTATCCTCATCGAAACGTCGCTTAGTATTAAACTCAGTAATTGTGTATCCATAAAATTGTACCTTGTGTTAGTATTAAGACCACTTTAAAATCTACTCTGAAGAAAAACTTTCTTAAGTGACCATAGTGTTATAAAAGGCATGACAAACTGTCATTTGAAGTGTGTCCACTAATTCCATTTCATTGTATTAGCAGAATGACATTACATTCAAATATGTCATGTTAAACTTTGAAACATGTCAAGCAGAAGGATTTAACAAGCAACTATTGGTGAGGAAAGAGAGTTAAGCAGGTGTGATAGTCTAACATAGCAGACTTACAAACTTAACAAATATTTTAAAAAAGACCTTTTGGTAATCCAACACTATCAATTATAATCCCAATTTCCTTCCAGATCTATTATGCTATATCCAAATTTTATGTAATTTAAATGCTTTATTTTCGTTAGAGTCACATACTGTGTAAACTATTAATGAAAAATGTTTTATTTATTTACTTAGGTTTTGCTATTGTTACACTGCCATGGTGCTTTGGCAAAGAATGGAGCAAAACTTGAAGTGCACCTTTAACCAAACTTTATTGATCTATATTGATACAAAATTCAATTTGAATAGAATAGAATGTTACTACACAGAAAATTTTTGTTATTAGGTTATCGCCATGTTTCTTTTTTTAGGCATTGTATCGTCTAAGAATTAACTTCACTTTTCAGAAGTGTGCTAATCTTTGGCTACAAACTTGCCTGGTGGTAATGTTTGATAATACTCTAGAAGAACATTTACACCCCTATGTAGAAAAATGTAGTGAACGCCTTGCTAAAGTAGAAACAATTTCAAGTATCCTTTCATTCTTTTTGACTCTTACACCCACTGCCTTAGTGCCCGTTATTTGAAACATGAAAGAAAGGCATTGACATTTAGGACTGAACTGTTTTCATTGTGCCTCTGTCAATATGCTGCATTTTACTAACAAATTTAGTATCAGAGCATGTTTGCTAGGAGTTATCAGAAACTCTATAGGGGATACACCATTCTTGCAAATAGCATGTTTTCCTATAAGATTCTCTCAAAGTGATACAGTATTAAGGTTATTTAGACATTTGTGGTTGTTGACAGTGAGAATGTAGATCTTTCAAACTACATACATCCTTATTAAGAGCATCCGACATTCACTTCCTAATTAAATCGGTAGTATTAATCTGTGTAAACACTCTTGTAACAACCTCTTGACATTTAGATATCTTTATCTTGTAGGTTTATTGCATCTTTCCTGTTGGCTTTTAATTGTTATTCACAGTTCATTTCTTCTTGTTTATTGTGTGTCTTGTGAACAAAATATGGTTCATTTAGTAAAAATTCCCTTGTTAGACAGTGAATACATAAAGATTATTCAGTGAATTTAGGCTGCTTAAATACGTTGAATTTAGACTGGAAAGATCCAAAAATATCTATGCTGTATCATTTTCTTTCAACATACTTAAGAAAAAACAAACCAAACAACTTGTTGAAAATTGGCGTGGAAAGCATTTGCCAGAATTGCGATTTATGCAGCACATTAAAGCTATACAAACCAAAAATAGACATTTATTTTTTTTTTAAGAATTAGACATCATTGTGGTATGTTGCGGTAATTTTCTCACGACAAGACCGACTTCATTATCCACATTTCCTTTTTTGAAAAACATTCATGAATTAACATTGATTAGAAACCTGTGGACGTGGGAAAACATTCAATCAATTGAACTGACAAAAGCTCTAGTTAGGGCAATCAAAATTTGTTTTTTTTACATTTAAAAGCAGTTTCCAGGTGATTACTACATTGAGTGAAGTTAATGTTTGAGATGAAAAAACCGACTCAAAGTCAAGAAGAGAAGTAAATCTGGGAACAAAAAGATATATTATATCTGCTTGTCTGTTCGCTAAATCTACATTGTAATGAGTTCATCAAGAGCACAATTACAACCATGTTAACTTTTAGTTAAAACGTCATGTAATTTATTTTCTTAGAATTAATAAATATCATGGGTTTTTTTATAGAATCAACAAGCATAATTTTAAAAATTCTAGGACTGCAAAAATGTACTTTCTTCTTGATTCAAAATTAGTAACGTTTAACATGGAACAATCTGAAATTTGGTTTGGTTAACAGTGAACAAACTTATAGGCTGTTCAGCCACTTATATTCAAACTAGTTTAAAATCACACTTACTGTGGTAAGCCAAACCAGTCTTAATTATTTTAAAGGTTAGAATCATCATTTTGCAAGGAAGATAACATACTGTGCATGCCCAAAGCAAGCTGAAGCCATATTTTTAATCTGACATGTTCAGATGGCCAAGATAGCTGTTAAGGAAGGCTTTCTCGAAAACATGTAGAGAACTGGGGTTTTTAAACTGGTTTATTTTCCTCACCTTTGCTTTAGACGACAAAGTAGGGTTTTCAAACCAGTTTAACTTAAACATCTGAGCGGGTTTTTGAACTGGATAGGTTCTGCTTATGAATCTTATAGCTATGAGATGAGTGAAGATTGTATTAAAAGTATATAGCACGTTCTCCTAAGATTCTGGGGCCTTTTTCATAAACTTTTAACTAAGATAAAATCCAAATTTTAGTAATTTGATTGGATAATATTAGATTGATTTTAATGCTTAGCCAATCAAAATTGAAGTATCTACTAAAATTTTGATTTTATCTTTAGTTAAGATTTCGAGAAACAGGGCCCCAGTTATAAGACAGGAAAAAAATACATTAGCCTATATAATAAAAGTTAGCCAATTTAATTTATAATGACACACATTATAGCTTGTCTCTTGTAATCCTAATTTATGAATTTATTATGACATTTAAAAGTTTCACTTCAAATAAATCAGGTGTACAGTATTGTGTATGGGCAGCTTTCTTGATGTATATGTCACTATAATTATGTATTTTACTTATTACTCTATTTGTCTGTATCTGCCTCAAAATAAGCAGCACATATTTAACGGTCATGTTGATTAATATCCCCCAACTTTCGAAGAAAGCAGGGGACTATTAAAATGGGTCTGTTTGTCACATTTTCTGGGACACAATATTGTAACTCCTAATTGAGCTAGAAAGTTCAAGCTGAGGGCTAAGCAGAGATAAGCAGTTTGATTGGTTGACGCTTTGGTTCTAATTAAGTGAAGTGAAATGAAATGAAATGGGGTTTAACGTCCTACTTTTCTGCTCCGAACTGGGCTAATGAAGACGGGCATACGCCATACAGTGTGCCATGAGGGAAATTTTGTCCGGATAGCGGCACTACGGACGTCTCTTTTACGTGCACTCCAATATGTACACAGGACCTAGGTTTTTCGTCACATCCGAACGACTAGACAGCTGTCCTTGTCAGGCCCTCCGTCCTGCATCACTGACAAGGGGGAACCACGCTGGAAAATTTGGATGAACTTTCTCGGCCAATGCAGGGATCGAACACCCGACCTCCAGGCTAGCGAGCCAGCGTCTTACCCACTTAGCCACGTGATCCCCACCTAATTAAGTGAGAGTGATGAAACTTGGTGTATAGTTTCATTATATCAATACTTTGACTAAGTTTGATAGTGAGCATTTTCTGCTCAGGGTAAGCCTAGCGATAAGCAATTTAATTGATCAAGACTTTGGAGCTTGATAACTTTTGATTCCAGTCGTTGTTGTTTGTATTTTAGAGGAGAGCCAAAAAAAATTCCCCTTACTCAACAAATTGAAAAAATCACTCCCCTAAAAAAGTTCTCCCAGTTTCAATAAGAAGAGTGATTTAGAAATTAAGGAGAGTGATTAGATGTGTGTATAGGAAATGATCCTGAAGATCAATAACTGCATCTTAGGGGGTCATTCATGGATTCAAAAATGATAATAAACCCCCCATGATTTTGTAAAAGAGAGCGATTTTCAATTTTAAGGAAATGGAGAAAAAACTCCTCTCGATCAACATTCAGGTGAGAGGCAGGCGCTTGAGAGCGATCGCTTGCCTTAAAAAACAATAACTGTTGATTCTAATTGAGTGAGAGTGGTGAAACTTTGTGAATAGTTTCATTACATCAGTACCTTGATGATGATCATTTTCTGCTTAGGCTAAGTAGTGATTAGCAATTTGATTGGTTAAGACTTTGGAACATAACAATTAAGCTTTTAATTGAGGTGGAATATTTAAACTTAGTGTAGATGTTCATTAGGTGAATGTCTTGACCGAGTTCAATAATTAACATTTTCCTCTAAGGCTAAGCAATTTCATTGATCGATACTTTGGGACAAGATAACTATATCTGGGACTTCCCTTTTAAATGCCTGTCAGAGATGTAAATGCAAGTGATGAATTTCATTGTGGGTTAGGGGAGGGGGTGGATTTGCTCAAAAGTTAGTATGGCATATTGTAGATTAAAAAGAATTGAAATTCATTGATATTAAAGTGTTATTAGAACAGTTGTTTGAGCAGAAAATATAAATTGGGCATTGGGCTGTTTTTCTCTGGAAAGTGCTTATGATGGGTTTTAATCTGTTTTATTTGTGATATTGTAGCATCATTGATAAATTGTACAGCTTGAGAACAACAGCAGTCATGACACTAAGATAATTTAACTATGACCCCAGTTGTTATCAATAAAGATCAGATGTCAGAAGTTCCTTTATGTTTTTCCTATACACATCTCTTATCTTGAAGACATTTTCAGAGACTAAAGTCAACACATTGTGATGTATTGAACCTGTAACACGATAGTCTGCTCCTCTTGCTTCCAAAAATATTTATATGATCTTGTATTTTAACTGAAATATTATTAGCGAGCCCTCTGAATGATTTGCTATCTATCTTGACTTTGATATGAAATATTAATACTAAATCATGTTTTAATGGATAAATATTATGCCAACTAGAGAGTATTTAATATTTATATGTATTATTTCAGACATCAGTATCTAAATAAATATTTGACATGAATTATATTGTGAATTAAACTAGTTTATAAAATTTATGTAGCAAGATAATGGTATTGAAATATTTAATCGATTAATCCAACCGTGGTATTCAATATCAATTATCAACCATTGTCTATTTCTGAAAATGACCATAAATCAGCTGTTTATAGGCTTGGTTATGATTAAAGTCTTTAATATCATAGGAGGGGGAATAAATTTCATACTTATTGATGATTACTACATCAGCATTTAAGTTAAAGATACATTATGGGAGATTAGATAAAGAGCTGGCAGTTCTCACTATAATAGTTAAAAACTAGATAATATAAAAGGAATTTGCTGAAAATTTCAGTCAAATTGATCCACCCTGAACCAAGTATTTAGCGATTGAATTTTGGGCCTAACCTTGATCATCATTACTAAAGTCGGTACGATAAAAAAATTATAGTCTCAATTATCCATTTTTTGATTTAATCAGAAGCAGCAGACATGGTTCTAATCCAGTAAATATTGCAGGCTAGCGATGTCATTGAGAGTTGATTATGGTCTGGATAAGTTAATTAAAGTCTAATTAATAATTTAGATAACATTTCAGGCCTAAAGAAAGACCTGCAATTGGCATATTTAGCTCTTGCATAATGTATGTTTAAGAGACCTGTGTAAAATGTCAATAGTATCTTTCCTCTTTAGGTTTTAAAGTATTTCTTTATGTTAATAACCGGGTCATATAATTGCATTTATGGAGCATGTCCACATGTGCAAGGATTTTGCCATCTTAAGAGAATCATTTATGTTCACAATGTAATCATCCTTAATTTTAATCATTGTCACCTCGCATAAGAAGTGCAATTACATTTTGACTAAATTTTTCCCGTGGAGTATTTGTCTCGCAAATACTACAACTTAAAGAATTAAAGTACAGTTTACCCTCACTGATTATTGTAATATGTAGTGAATGTCAACAACATCCAGTATTATATTTGTGGTCGTCTGCTTTAAAGGCTGTGGTGTCTGTTAACAGAATTTAAATATAACTAGTTGAATTTGATGTTGTATCCAATTGTCTGTTGTTATAGCTGTGAGCTATATGTACAGATAGTGTGAAACTAATGTTGATCTGTTCAATATAATTTCGTCATGATGGGATTGTCCTGCACATATGTCTTTCAAGCGAAATGTGCAAAACTGGCTTGCTCGATGAAATTTTCCTGTTTATTTGTTAAAACAATGTAACAGTCTTGTGTTAAAATGGGTTCGATCTCAATGATATTTTGCTAGTATTTATTAATATCAGATGTAAGATATACTGGCTGAATTGGGCTCACGACACTTGATTCTGTTTATTAGTTTGAATACATCAAGTAAGGCCATCATGTTCTATTGTGGGAGGGCAGCGATAATTCAGTTAGCACGAAGACGAAGGGCCTTAATTGTCAGTCAGTTAAAGGACAATGTTGGTGTCCATCAATATTACATATGTAACGGAACTCGTCAAACACATTCCAGATATAATTTTAACACAGAGTATTGGGATGTGACACAAAAAAAAGGAAAGCAGTATGCTTAATTAAGTACAGAACAATAACAGCTATCAATTCAAAATGAACTGTTCATGAAAATAATTGACTGTCACAAGAAGAAAAGAAAAAGTCCTTGCATTACCATGGTTTGATTAATTCTCTTACATCTGAGACCCAGAATATTTCTGTTGTAAGATATTCAATATGCTTTCTCTTTTTTCACAGATGCAAGAATACACTATTTGATGTGGAATGGCAAGGAGATGGCAGTGTAACTATTAAAGCAAGCAATAATAATTATATCTTCAACAAGCCAACAGGATGTCTGTTTGCATTAAGTGAGTCCGCAACGGAAAAAGAGAAATTTAAAGTAAAGATGGTAAATCGACCAGCAATCATCTTAAGAAGTGAATATGGTTTCGTTGGATTAAAGTCATTTCAAAAACCTGAATACAACTGTAATAAAACTTGTTATGAACCAATCTTCTTAGAACCACAAGAAAATGGATTTTATGGTTTGAAAGGTGAGCTATATAAAATGTTAGCTTATTAACAAATATCCTTGATACATTCATTTCCGTTACCTGTATGGTAATAACATGATACCATTTGGAGAGTAATTGAAACTTTGCTAATAATAAGCATAGCGATGAGTCTTGTTCCTATGTTGTTCCTTTTGGAACGGTTGATATTATTGTCCCCCGCCTTTCGAAGAAAGCAGGGGACTATTAAAATGGTTCCGTCTGTCTTTCTGTCCGGACGTCCGTCTGTCTGTCTGTCCGCCCGTCACACATTTTGGGACACAATAACTTTCCTTTTAATTGGTGTAAGTGTTTATTAGGTCAATGCCTTGATGGAGTTCAAAGATGAGCATTTTCTGCTGAGGATGCTTTGGGACACGATAACTTTAGTTCTAATTAAGTGAGAGTGATGAAATTTGGTGTATGTATAGTTTCATTACATCAATACCTTGACTAAGTTTGATAATGAGCATTTTCTGCTCAGGATAACCAGAGCGATTAGCAGTTTGTTTGGTCGAGACTTTGTAACACAATAACTCGCCTTCGAATTGAGGTAGAATGTTCAAACTTGGTGTAGGCATTGATTGGGTGAATACCTTGATGGAGTTCAAAGATGATGCTTTGGGACACGATAACTTTGGATCTAATTAAGTGAGAATGATGAAACTTGGTGTATAGTTTGATAATGAGCATTTTCAGCTCAGGGTAAGCAAAGGGATAAGCAATTTGATTGGTCGAGACTTTGGAACTTGACAACTTTGATTCTAATTGAGTGATAGTGGTGAAACTTCGTGTATAGTTTTATTACATCAATACCTTAACAAGGTCCAATGCTGAGCATTTTCTGCTTAGAGACTTCAATCTGATTGGTCGAGACTTTGGAACACAATAACTCTCCTTCTAATTGAGGTAGAATGTTAAAAATTGGTGTAGGTTTCTATTACATGAATGCGTTGACATAGTTTGTTCATGTGCATTTCCACTTAGGCTAAGCAGAGATAAGTAATTTGATTGGTTGAGACTTTGGAACACGATATCTTTGGTTCTAATTGGGTGAGAGCGATGAAATTCTGAGTATAGATTCATTATATCAATACATTCACCAAGTTCGATCATGAAAATTTTCTGCTTAGGCTAGGTAGCGATAAGCAATTTGATTGGTCAAGACTTTGGAACATTACAATTGAGGTATAGATGTTCATTGGGCGAATGTCTTGACTGAGTTCAATGATTAATATTTCCCATTAAAGCTAAGCAGAGCTAAGCAATTTCTTTGCTTGATGCTTTGGGACAAGATAACTTTGATTCTAACTTAGTGTATAGTTCACTCACTACCAGGTACTTCAAAACCTGAGTTTGATAGTGAACATTTATGCTTAGACTAAGCAACCTATCTTTATACACCCACACCTCACATATCATTGAGCATATATAGTCGTCGCCCATGCCCATCCGTCAACAATTACTCGTTACCATAGAGGCTAGACTTTTGACGTTTTTCAAGTTTGGTGTGGGGGATTGTAAGAAGACAAACCATATCGATTTTTAGCACTCCATAACCTGTCGTTCTGAGTTATTTCCCCTTTTCCAAACAACTTGGGGATACTTGATTGAACGTTCCAGAATTAAATGTTCTCAATTCCAAAAATAGTGTCAATTGAGTTAAAAAGAGAATTTCAGAGTACAAAGCATATGCCAACTCCATAAAAAATATCTCAACCAATTATGACAACTGAATCATATTTGTTACTTAAAATACGTTACGATTCTACTCACACCAACTCAGCTGTCGGGACTGGCAGAACTGTGGCAGTGCCGAATTCCATATCACTTGATTGCAATTCAGTCAATTCTGGATGTTCCGAACTGACAATCACCCCCCCCCCCCTTTTTAAAGCAATGGAGGCTACAGTATAAAACAGATTTTTTTGAAATTTGATTTGAAAAGTTGGGGTTATGAGAAGACAAACCCTATCAAATCCTTCTTTTCCAGAGTTATCCCCTTTGTCCAAAAACAACCTTGTTACAGTGATAGAGGCTACAGTTTTTAACTGAATTTATTTTTCAAATATTGTGCAAAGCATTAAGACACTGAGAATATTAGCCCAATTGCTTTTCAAATTTGGTGTGAAGCATTGGAATCAGAAAGAATTAACCCTGTTCATTTTCAGCAATCTAGGACTTTCTGTTCCAGAGATATATTATGTGTCTGGAAAAGCTGGTGATCACGATACAGATAAGATTTCTTGAAGAATCCTTATCAAATTTGGTAAACTTCCAAGTTTTCCTTTTGGATATGCTGCACTTGAGACATATCTGCTGTGTGAGCACATTTACAAGCTGTGCGTGGCTATCTTAATAAGGTTGTATTAAAATCTTATGGTTATTAAACGCAATTTCTACAAAGCTTTGAAGGTTGAATTGCATGTCATTTTTTTCTGATGTTCACACTGCTCAGTACATGTATATATTTTATTATGGTTATTTTTTTTTTTACTTATAGGAAACAATGGTAAATATTGGGGGTTAAATGAAGAAAGTCACGTTTTTGCTGACAAAGATATGCCTGTCAATTTCCTTTTGGAATTCCGCAAGCAAGACATCATTACAATCAAAGCTCCAAACGGCATGTATCTTAAAGGTGAACAAAATGGACTATTTAGAGCCAAAGGAGAGGATTTAGATGCTGGAATGCTTTGGGAGTGTTAGATTTTGTTATTTCAAAATTACCCCATGTTTAAAATAGTGGGAAGAAGACTTGCTTTAACTTGACATGTCCATGGACTATAATTATTCACCATTTGTACATATCTGTATGGTTGAAGTGTAAAGAATGTAATATGTTGTGACTGCTCAATAATGTCACATAATGAATGAACAATACTGCACAGTGAACAAATGATACTGGTATAACACTGAAGTAAACAATGTCTTGTGTTGACACAGAACTACATTAGATGGACCAAAATTGTATGTTTACATCATTGTATTCACTCACTTATCATTGTCTTGTACACATTTTACTGTAACTTTGTAGTATGTGTAGTACTCAAAAAAAAAATGTAGTTTTTTAATTAAATTTTCTATCATTCACTTTTTGAAGCATATTTATTACAAAACACAAGAATACTTTGGTCACAAAATTATAGAAATAAATGTCTGTGATATTTTTGACTTTTCCAAATATCTAGTAACAGGCATTGTAACATGTATCACTGATGTATTATTACCTGTGTCATGGAAGAAGTTAGGATGGACAAACACTTTACATCGAATGACCAATGACCATTGATGATGAGGTTTCTTTTTTAATTGCATGAGCTTGGAAATAAATTCTGTATAGGACAAATATATTTAAAGGGGTAAACAATATTTATACTGCTTAATTTCTCCCTTATATTAATAATTTATTTTTGTCATTTACATGCTTTTGTTATAAATAGTCTCAAAGTACTGGTAATACTGATCTCTAGCAATACATTTAACGTTTTCATTATATAGCTCAATTTCACTTTCTTATCCAAAGATTTTTAGACAAACTTCATTTAAAATGCATTCCCCTAAATGATATTTTGTCAGATTTGTAATTAAACTTGTATAAACTATATCTGAATGCCTTTAATGTATGGCAGTAAAATTGTTATTGGATATTTATAGAACATATACTCGGTGTTTCGAAGATGTATACTCATAGATTTCTATCTTTCATTTTACATGAGATTTCACACAGAGAACTTGTTTGTTAATAAAGGTGTTGGTGATATTTGTTGAGGGTAGTTCTCAGTATCGGGACATAGTCGATTAATCATGGTCTGTAACATTAACATTACTACCCTTGGATCATCTCAAGTAGATTGTATTGCATCCTATTGAAAAGTGAATTAGGATGACTCGAAATATCTAAATTGCAATAGTTAAAATGTATTTTATTTGGTATCATACTATCATGTCATTGACCTGATTTGTTGACATACAAAATCAATCTACGCCACTATTATTTAGTTGTGTTGAGCCAATGGTAGTAATAAAGTGTTATGATTCCCAAATATGCTATGAAGTGTCAGGATAGAGTCAAGTGTTTCCAAGTTTCATAACTGTTATTGTTAGATGATATTTATATTATACTCTGTTAGTACCTGTTTACTAAATAATGACAACTGCTTATAATTATATACTTAATATACATAAAAAAATACCCTAAAATTATTGATGCATTTTCAGCTGTGGCTTTAATTGTTGAGTATTTGTATCACATACGGTAACAATGAACAGTCTCTCATTGAATGTATTAAGATGTAATGGATGTTTTGGATATATTCTTTCATGAAAGCATAAATACATATACCAACTATTATTAGATGTTTGTAAATAACATATTTCTATTAGAGTTGTTTTGTAGAGGTTTTATGCTTTTGTCCAGTCATTATGAAGTACAGTATGTTTGTTGGTAATGTATCTAGGGGATAAATTAAAATGATTTTCCAATTTGCATTGATAATTAGCTACTTAATTGTTGTCTTGGTTTATTATTGTAAATGCATATTTTTGTGTTCGGTGAAAAAAAAAAGATCCAAACCAGTTTAGTTTGTAAAATTTACAAATCATTAGAATTTTATTTTGATATGGTGTCATAATCATTTAATATTTTAAGAATATAATCTTTTTTTGATTGCTTTTTTTCCTGACCAAACATTTATGTAATAAATGTATTTCTTATGCTGTAAAGAACTGCCTACTATCTGTGCATTTTTCTAATAATGGTTCCTATTACAGCATGCCTTATCATCAGATAAATCCATATTATTTATGCAGCCGTTTTGTCAATAAACATTTCTACCGGGGATTGTATAGTTTCTTCTTATTCACCCACACTTTGTCTTTGGGATAATGCAAGTATCCCTTTTGTCTATTAGCTAGTCTGTCTTCCATGATTTTTATTAGCCCTTTATTAAAGGCCACAATCAACTGAGCATTATGAAAGTACATGTGGGGTATTCATTGATAAAAGTGGGTTAAAGTATGGAAATCAAATCCCCAAATTACATCAGTCTGAAAGTTTTGAATCCAACTTTTGAGTTGTTCAGAATTAGGGTTTAATATCTCAATACAATACTTTGGTAATTTTGTGACTAACTAATATAATTTTTATGCAATGTGAGAGGAGATAGCATTTTGCCATGGAAGTGGCCTTTCCACCTATTCTTGTACCAATTCCAGACTTCCAACATTTTACATGTCCTACCAATTGTACACAATACCCTAATTTTTTGTTCCATACAATCACCAGACAAACTCACCTTGAAGGTGAAATGAAATGGGGTTTAACGTCCTGCTGTTCTGCTCCAAACTCGGCATACGCCATAGTGTGCTATGAGGGAAATTTTGCCGAGACAGTGGCACTACGGCCTACTCTTATATCGAATTCCAACTGTCAGGGATCTTTTACGTGCACGCCAATTTGTACATGGGAACTCGGTTTTTTGCTCCATCTGAATGACTAGACAGCTGTCCTTCTTCAGGCCCCCCGTCCTGCATCACTGACAAGGGGGTACCGCGCCGGAAAATCTAGATGAACTTTCTCGGCCAATGCAGGGATCGAACACCCCACCTCCATACTAGCGAGCCAGCATCTTAACCACTTAGCCACTGTGAAAGTGGGAAGAGGGCTGAAAAACTCCAAAAGGTCTGTCTAGACCAATCTAAAGAATCAAGTACAGTTTCAAAAGCGCACAACCACCATGGACCAACCGTAAGGGAATTCTAAGTATATTAGACATTGTTTTCATAGTATTTATATAGCAGATTTATGGCCAATCTCACAAAATTAATCATTTTTTTTTCAGCAAAATATATCTGTCATGGCTCCTTTAATTTCTTGTCATATTTAAGAAGCAATTATAATGTTGCTTCCAAGGTAAGAAAAAGCTTTGCACTACTAAATATTTAATGTAAGACCAAATGGTTTAATCAATTTTCTATAAAGCAGAATCAAAGACAACAGCGTAATTGTAAGGAGTATGATCCAAATTTACATTTGTGACACTACTTGTCAAATATTTTATCTCAGTTGCCCTGATTATTTTGTTACAGGCAACAATATTTGTTATTCAATCTTTATAATAAAAATTTAGATTTCCAGAAATGACTATGACTATTTTTCATTGCTTCCCATTTGATAAAACTAATCTTTGTTTAGAATCTAAACTTCTTAATGATATTGTTTGAGTCGACCTCGGTAAAAATAATTGTGTTAAAGGAACCCTTCTACATGATATATGTTCTGCTAGGGTAACCATTTTACCCAAAAATCAAATATTTAACTTCTTTAAGTAAAAGTATTTCCTGAAATAATTTCAATACACTGATTATTTTATAGCTATAATTTGTGGAACTGTTATGCCAGTGTGTTTATTTAGAGTCTTAACAGATCAGACACCAATATTCCTTTTTGACAAATACAAATCAATACAGCCAAACATTTAATTTTGTTTCGTAAGCGTACAGGTCCCTGCTTAACTAAGTATTGAATAATGTTACACTTTTAACTAGAATGGAAGGTGTTAAAAATCAATAGTAATTACATGAAATGTTTCCCCCCAGATATCTGGTGTTATTTTCATCAAGTCAATAGCACATTCACATTATCTGAAATTTGTCATTATTATAAATCATTGATTAAATATTAATGTATGGATTAAGTAGGATTACCATTTACAGTAACTGAATTCATTTAAAAGTAATATTAAAGTGTGATATCCATTAAATATATCCATATGTCGAAGAACAAATTATATATCATCAACTCCAAATCTATAAACTTTATTTTAAAGAAGTGTTATTTTTAGAACTAAAATTATATTATGGTTGGCAGCATGGAGAGAGAGTGATCAGGGCCAGGGCCTTATTTAACTAATCAGCACAAGTAGTGTACTTTAGTTCATAATGTCTTGATTGCCATATGTAAATATTTATTTATATTCATTTCACTAAGACACACTTACGTAAAGTAGTAAATATTATACTTACATACGTTTCGCAAGATTTTATCAACGAAAGCTTCAAATGACATGTTCATTTAGTAAGTCATCTACTTATTCATGATGACAACGCATGCTTATTTGTAATTTCTATCTGTACCATGTTGGCTAATTTGTTTCCATTCCAATACAATTTAGAAAGAGAACAATGTAGATTAGTAGGTTGCTTTGCTAGAAACAATAGTAAATTACTCTTGTTTTCCTCCCAATGTGCCATTTGTTTTCTGACCATTAAATGGTTTCTAAGTATTTTTACACATATTTCATCTATAATCTTTGGTAAAATCTTTTGATCAGCTTCTTTTTAATCCAACTGAATCCAAGTCGGGAGATTATCTACTGTTGATATTTTGATTTTTTTCCCATAATTCTTTGCTAAATAATTAATCTGAGTACATTTTAGTGTAGATTAAGCTGTGAAAAATATTACATTGTCTGAAAAATGTAAATGAATATTTTATACCATAGAACATTTGATGCTTGCCTTCTGTTTTTTCATTACTTCTATCATTCATAGACCTATTATATGTATATTATGAATGGGATATCAAAATGTAATACATAATGTTGTTATCCAGTTTTAGACAGGAGGACGGCAGACAGACAGAAGTGACAACATCAGCCAATTAGATGAACTTTTAAAGATACACTCGACAAAATTAACATATGTATTTATTACACATTTCTCAGTAATTTTATAAAGTAATATATTTATACAAACAATGCTTTTCATATCAAATGTCATTACTGCGTCAGCATACAGTAGATATATATTTCAGGCTGCCATAAAATTTGGTACAGGTAATTTCATTCCTTCCTTTGCTTCAAAGAAAGTATAAGATAAGATAATGGTGTCTACATGCTCTAATTTAGGATCGTCAACAAATTCTGGATCAATGTAGAAAAATACTGGCATATCAACCTGAATAAAATGACCATAGTGAAATTTACAAATATGAACATAATAGGGAATGATATGTATGTTTTAAGTCAGGACTGTGACAACCTTGTGAAGAAAATCCACCACTATGGTACTTCAAATTAATTGAAGCAATAGTTTAGAAGCCAAATGGCTAAATTTCACTGAATATTGTCTTTTCAACAGAGAAGAACAAATGAACATACATATGGTATACTGTTAAGTCAAACAAATCAATAGTTTCCGTGGCAACCAAAAGATTGTTTTAAAAATGAATCTAACACTATATATATATCAACATATATCAACCCATATAATTACATAGATTTACTACATTCATTAGGTATCTGTATCATTATAAATCTAGAGACATCCAGCCAGAGTGAAAGTAAATTATTTGAGTTTTAAGACCATATACAATCAAAATACTCTTACTAAAAAACATTTGGCCGAATCATTATTCAAATTGATCAGTTCTTACATAAGTTAGGTCTATTTGATGATAACATTAGTTTCTCTTTATTTGACTGCAGTATGCTTGCTGTCGCAGAGGTTTGAAATATAGTCAAGATATGATCTAACCTACACTTATTGCTTTGATCTTCTAAGTTACCACCAAAATAGCAAAGACAAGGTGAAGGAGAGAGACGATATAACAGTAACACCCTGATGTAGTAAAGTGGTAGACTAAAACATGCCTTACAGGTTTCATACAAAAGAGGGGGGTTGGATGATCGAATGGTTAGCTCATGCGCGTTGTATCATAAGGTCTGTCATTGAGTCAACTGGTGTGGTTTTGATTCCCCGGTTGTACATGACAAGGAGAGGAGTCTCCTGTCCAACCTCATCAGCTTTCTCCGGGTCCTCCGGTTTCGTCCCACCGTTAAAGACCACTACCCACAAGCCAAGTAATGAAATAAAGTTCAATCATGTGTTAGTCCCCAAATGATCTAGTTTGTGTCTCATACAAAAGAAATCAAACACAAGATTCAGAAAATTGAACCAAGGTTTCAAAAGATACATAGAATGGTACAAAAATTGATAGGTTTATCTTTATAAACCTTGGTTCAATTACTATCTTCAAAACACTCTGCATATTCAGTTTGAAATGTTTTCTTGATCTTCTGTTAACAACTAATCAGACACTGAAAGTACTGAAAAAAATAAAACTGGGAAACTCCACAACTCAAGAAACTAACCACCCAAATATTGTTACTTTGTAAAATTTTAATTCTAATTAGCCCATAAAATTAATTAAAACCAATAATTTATAAACACCCTAATGATTTATCATAATTGTCAACAAATCAATATGAAATGATTTGAATTACCTTTTCGTGTGGATTTAATCTTTGCTCTTCAAAACAAAAGCACTGTAAAAAAAGAAATAATTATTTGTAAAAAAGTATATTAGAAAATTCAATATAATAACCTACAAATAAAATTCAATTCCATAAATCAACAGCAAATTAAATAACCTTTATCTACTTGAATTCATAGCACTTTATAAATTCAAACCAGAAATGGGATATTAAAATAACTGTTAAATTCACATTATGAAGATATTAATTGCTTAATTTCATATTTTGTTATTCATATTCAATACATGTTGTTTAAATTTTAGGAAGAGACTGATGTCTGAGAGATCAACGGGAATTTTGAAGACTAAAGGGGGATAACTCCTCACAAACCAGACTATGAACAAATTCACCATTATTTTCTCCATTTTCCTGCTTATTCACTTTTCCCCCGTTTGCTAGGTATATTACAAACAAGCTTGGTTCCCCTTTCAGGATTCTGTGATCCATTTGCAAGCTTTTATAATTTAACTGTTGTCTGAATATATCTCATTGCTTATCATCCTTAATCTAAAATATTTATTACTGTTCATAGTACATCTACCAACCTGTATTTTATTGAAATATTGCCCAGCTTCAAAAGGTACCACATTATATGTAGAAATACCAATAACAGGTTTATCAGATGGATTTGTTGCGGTGTAAAAAGCTAATGCTGTTTCTCCTGCTAATACCTGTAACAAAACGGTCACTGCTAAATAATGTAAATAAAAAGTTTTTTATTTAAAAATAACAATTTTAGGGATTAAACATACATTATGCAAGAGCTAAATCTGATTATTGCAAGTCTTTATTTAGGCTTCAGATGTCATAGAAATTATAAATTAGATCTTTATTTACACAACAAGCACGAAATCAACTCTGTAGACCCACGGATGGCTTGGATTCGGCTTGGATTTAAACAGGATTTCATTGATTGATTAAATTTTTAAATGGCGTCGTAAGCCATTAACCGTTACGTTGACGTCAGACTCACGGAAATTTGAGATCGAGGCTAAATGATAGAGTTTACGAAGCGAGGCCGCTGTTGAGCGAGGCCGCATGTCAGTCAATTTGATTGAAAGTTCGATATATACGGCCTTGATATTATGTTTAGTTGTGGTTAAAATGAGAGTTTGATGTCGGTAATATACGCTCTTTTGTCACTTGAGTTTACAGAAAAAATATGGAAATTGATAAACATCGCTGCTAACATCACCCCACCAAGTTGAATTGCAACCCCATTGGATCACTGTTTCCTATTTGTCTCTTTCGGGAGTTACAGTACAAGAATACACACAGGCTAACAAGAAGTCGGCTATAATTATGACTGATTGACTTTGTCCATTCCTTTCAAACTTTCGCTTCTTATCTATATATTAAAAGTCTTAATTTTAATTTGTAATAAAAATAAATGTGATACGAATTGAATTGCAACCCCGTCTCAAACCAAATAGGGTAAAGGTACCACAGCCATTGAAAACGTTACTTGATAATCGAGATTATGTAGGTGGAGTTAACGCCTGTCAATCAATCAATCGGCCATTCTCAGAGATGGTGAAGAGAGAGTTGACTCCTATTTCTAGTCAAAAATTACAATGGTGATAACTTTGTTGTAACAAGAATGGCCAACTCTCTATTAAAATCTCCCATAATGTATCTTTAAGTTATTTATTTAGTGATAAATACTATCAAGTATCTTCTACAATATATATCTTTATGTATATATGAAACATCCCATATAACTTAGTTAGACGAATTTGTACAATTGTGTCCAATCAAGATGTCAAAGTTCAGAGACTACAGGAACTAAAAGGTTTCTTATTAAAACAAAATTATCCAGGTAAATTAATAGACGATGCTAACCAAAGAGCATTGAGTTTGGACCAAAGCGTGTTAAGACAACCTAAAGTTCCTGTAAACTCTGATAAAAGGAACGTTGCTTTAGTTACTACATTCAATCCGTCCCAGGAAAATGGGAAATCTATCATTGAAAATTACATCCATATCCTTAAAAATAGCCAAACGATGGATAAAATATTGAGAAAAACAAATATAATCAACAGTCTAAAGCAACCTTCCAATTTGGCTAGGATTATCACATCTTCTAAATATGATTCAGTCGCTTCAATTTCAGCAGTTTCTAAATGTGGTAATTCAAAGTGTAAAACCTGTGAAATAATCATTGAGGGATCATCCATAAAAATTAATGATGATAATACATTTTATATCAAACAGGCAATGAGCTGCCAATCAAACTATACCGAAGTCCAAAAGAAAGTATACACACTAAAAATATGACTAAGTTTTGTTTAAATCAAAAAAATGTGATAAAACTACACTGAACACGTCTCGTGCGTCCAAACTCAATATTTCTAAGCAAATAAAAGGCAAACCTAATGAACATTGTACCCAAATACCGCATACAATGGAAAAACGACTTTGTTTGAAACAGGACGAAATGAACAGTGTATACTTTCTTTTGGACTTCAGTATATGTAATTTACCTTATAGCGTGTCTGGGATGCAAGGGAACGTATATAGGAAAGACCCAAATGATGCTTAGGTTGCGAATGAACCTCCATCGACAGCACATACTTCAACCAAAATACAGGATGATCCGGCTCAGTGAGCATCTTGAAGTATGTGGTGGGGGCAAATTTAGTGTTTTTCCTTTATATAGACTTAATAGCAAAAACAAATACCTCTTGTAAGCAAAAGAAAGCTATTTTATTGAGAATTATCACCCAAAACTTAATTCTAAATAAGAGAATAATTAAACATAAAATAAAGACCATGTCGGGATTGAATATTTGTAGTCTGTAGGCTAAGAAATAACTACCCTTGCCTGTATAATAATGTAACTATGCCTGAAGAGCCGCTATTGCGGTGAAAACGTTAGCATAAAAATGTAGTTTTATTTTGCCATCTTTAATTTCAATTATATATATATATATATATATCGCCGGTGAGCTATCAAAATTGTGTATAGTGGTGTATACGAAGGTAACAAATTTTACAGGAGAAACAAAAAACTGAATAACTTTGTGAGATATTGTCGTATCATTTTGAAATTTGGAACGGGTAAACGTTATTTTACTCATTACTTACTGTTAATAAGCACAACGGAAAATTGTGATATAATTTTACGTAAGCACGCACACAAAATTTTTACATGGTAGTAATAGGAAAATGTGGTCTTTTTAGGAGATATACGAAATTTTGAAGCTAATGTTAAAATAAAGATATCAAACAAAAATGTTCATTGTTAATTTATTTTGACTAAAACAAAACATGAACACGTCTACTGGACGTGGATATTTCAAGTTAATTACAATATAAAAACAGTAAATAATAACAAACTTCATAATATAGGCGTATGATTAGCTAAACCTTACAAAACATGAAAAAAAACACAACATTTTTTTAGTAAATTCATTCATATAAGTTAATAAAACGAGTACTTAAAATAATCAACATAATTGACCTTCAACTTATTCCGCCTCATGAAGTAAATTGTCATAAAAAGGCTGGTAATCAGGGGTAATACCTTTTTAAGTTCTTGTAAATGGGTGTACTTTTTTGACTTGATCTTAAGTGGGGCGTCGTATAAGCATTGGAGCTCCAGAGGGTCGTCCTTTGACGGAGGACACCTTTTATTACGTCTAGGGAGATCATTAAACTCGTCAGTAAAGTTTGTTTTGTACTGAATATTACCATCCTTATACTGCAAAACACGAGAAAGTTTTAAAAAAGTCGTGTGTAAGATATTTCACTTTATAAAATGGGGTCAGTCTTGTTTTACGTATTAAGTCCACGTAATTCTGTGGAATATAAATAGGTTTACCGCGAATTCTTCTCTCAATCGTGCTGTGAACCGAATCACAATCCATCTGAGTGTGACCCTTTTCAAGAAATTTTTGCATGATGGTTATTTCTCTCTCAGTGGCAGCTTTTAGTAACATATTTGACAAAATTACATTTCTATTTTGGTATGTACAATCATCGCTATACAAAATAAGTTCTTTGACATCATGGTCAATAGAATTTATATAATCATTTAAGCAAGAGGCAAAAGTGTTTGCATTAAGATCCCCAATACATTCATGACAAAAGTAATTGACCACATCTTTGCACATATGTGTAATTAAAAGCTAGGTATATTCTGATTGTCGTGTTTATAAAATATAGATTAATGTTCGGGTGAATGAAACTACAGTCATTCACTTGAGACATAGTTGTAGATAAATTAAATAAAATGGGTTTAACGTCCTACTGTAGGATAAAATGGGATTTCATTAATTAATATCTTTGGTAAGTTATTAGATTCACATATATGTACTTAAATCAAGTTAGCGAATGAGTGGTATATTGTTACATAAAAAAGAGTTAAAATTTGGTAGACATTAGCTGTTTCTGTGGGAATATCATCTATTACATGTGATAGGAAAATTACGATTCCATCATTTGGCTTGTTTAACCAATCTCTATACTTATTGACATCATATTTGACCAATTAGATAATTGAAAGTCCAAATCCGAAAGCTACAAAACTATCATACTTGTGAGAATTCGTCAGACAGCAGACAGATTCTGGACGGGAAAAGATGTAGCAATTTCTATCAGCAGACTTGCCCATCGAGCCTGGCTGGCTAGTGTTTGAGAATGACTTTAGTATTGTAATCTATACTATGCTTGTATGTAAGCAGCTATGATATATAAAATGTAAAAATGAACTGTTGCATTGTTATTCTTGGTATTAAGACAAACGTCTTAACTAACTGAGATAGTAAGAAGAAGTAAATACACAACGTAAAGGGGAAGCAAAGACAACAAGTGAAAATACTAGACGATCACAAGGCTACTAAGATATTTAGTAAGAAAAGATGCATGGATCATACGTAGGATGTGGCGACCAAAATCACTGGCCCGCTCTCTACATCTGACAAAAGACCCATGGTGCTACAATCGTTTACCATCAACATTTTACCCGATATCAAAGTTTGACATATTTTTCAAACAAGCAGGTGCCATGCAAGATACACCCACATTGTTCATGAGATGGACAGAAAAAAAATCTAAAAAAAGAAACGATTTTTTGTACAATCTGGGGGCATAATCCAGGAAGTTACAGTTCGATATGTGTGAATCTACAGGAACCTAGATCTCCTGGATATAAACATATTTTAAGTTTCATCAAAATCAAATAAAAATTGTGACCTCTAGAGGGCCTACAACCTTGGCATTACATACTTTTACACTATTTGCATAGCCTACAAGGAGCGAACAGCCAATCTGTTGGGCAGTTTCGATCCAATTTTTACGAAATTCAAACTCAACCATCATTATGTTTTATGGTGTAACGGTGAGATATTTAAACAGTTTTTAAAATTGGATAGAAATTGACGATCTACTTGTATTTCAAATTAAAACTGCCAAGGATTCCTTTTGTTGCAAGGCAGTGTGTACATGGGACCGCAATTTTTGTCCCATCTGAACAACTAAACATTATACCTTACCAGACCCTCCAATCTGCACCAGGGACATGAGGAAACCATGTGGAACTGTCTCGGGAAATACCGGTAGCAAACCTTCTGGTTAGCGAGGCAGCTCCTCATTTACTGAGCCACCACAGCTCTTTTGAAAAAATAAAAGTAAGATTATATTTTCACTGTAGAAGCCAAACACACATATT